ATCTCATCAAATTTTCATGAGAATTAAAATATTAATATACTTAAGGAATTTAGAGTAGTATGTGGGGATGCAGAGCAGCACCGTGTATAAATTAATGGTCATTATCTTATATTGATTAAACTAGATATCTACTTGCATCTCTGTCAAGAAACCATCTGGGAATGCACCTGGTCTAGAGTCTGACAGCATAAAATAATGAAATGGATCTTGTTGAGTGGATGGATAACAAGTAGACCTTCTCTTCTGAGACTGTCTGTGAGTAAACAACTAGACAGACGTCAGCCTCAACAGTGATAATTCTACCGTGCCAGATCTGGCCCGCAACCTACAGGCCTCTTAAACATTAGATCACGTTTAACACGTGGCATATAATTTCTGGGTGCAGATCACCTCAGAGATGTAGAATATCTTCAGCATAATTTATATGGGAGTGTTATCATCTGCATTTGTTTTGTTTCCTTTTCCTTTTTTTCCTGAGTGTGAGCTCAGGATGAGATACCTCTTTAATTTTAGTCTGAGCAAAATTTCTTTTGCCGGATCCTTTGCTTTTCATCCCTTAGAAAGTTGAAGATGCAAGACTGGCTTCCAGCTCCTTGACTGTCTCCAGCTACATTCCTTCCTTGGATGATCTCATCTTTTTTAATGACTTTAAATACCATGTAAGTGTTGATGACTCCCAAACCTGCTGCTCCAGCCTTAGCTCTTCACTGAGATCCAGACTTACATTTCAATTTGTTCACTTCATGTCTCAGCGTAGATATCTAACAGACATCTCAAATGCAACATGACCCAAACAGATTTTCTCCCATATATATATGATTCTCCCAGTCCTTCATATTTTAGTAAATGATACTAAAATGCTGTAATGCTGTAGCCTCTGACTGTTCTCTTCCATCCTGGCTGCCCCCCCCCCATTCTACTGTCTCTGTACCAGCCCCCTAAAATCCTTTTAAAAAGATAAATGGCATCATGCTACTCTCAGTTGGCCTTCAATTACAATAGGATAATACTAAAAATTCCTTGCAGGACCAACACCCGTTTCTTGATCTTCTTTCTTTCCTTTTTGTCTGTTTTTGTCTTTTTGAGACAGGCTCTTGCTATGCAGTTCAGGCTGGCCTTGAGCTCACTTTGTAGCCCAGGCTGGCCTCAAACTTGCAATGATCCTCCTGCCTCAGCCTCCCAACAGTGCTGGGATTATAGGGGTGTGCGCCACCACACTCAGCTTGATATTACTTCTTAAACTGCAAGATGATAAACAATGAGATTTCTATCACCTGCCTTTATTTATTTATTTAAATTTGTTTTGTTTTGTTTGTTTGTTTGTTTTTTTTCCAGTACCGGGAATCGAACTCACGACCTCATGATGCCAAGCAGTCGCTGTGCCACTGAGCTAAATCCCCAACCCTTATTTATTTATTTATTTACTTTTGGTGGTACAAGGAATCCAACTCAGGAGTGCTCTACTACAATCACAGCCCATTTAAAATTTTTTTCTTTACTTTGAAAAAGGATATCACTATGTTGCCCCAGTGGGACTCAAATTTTTGATCTTCCTGCCTCAGACTGTCTAAGTGCTGAGTAATGGGCATGAGCCACCATGCCCCACTGGGTCCAAATATTTAATGGTGTGAGGTACCTGCTAGTTCCTATATCAAATTTTCAAAGGGACTAGACATAGCCTGTTCAAACACTTTTAAAACCCTTTGATGAAACAAAAGTGTTGAGGCAGTCTAGGAGGGAGGCTTTTGAGACTATATATATTTTGAAAAAGCTATGCTAAATCCAAGCTTATATTCCACTGAGCAAGACCAAGAATTCTCCTTCCTCCCTCAAGGCTAGTGGTGATCCAGAGCTACCATGGCAACAATAACCAAGCCTATCCTGTTGTTTCTTCAGCTGGGAGGCATAATGTACTTACTTCTGCCTAGGGGATTAGAGGATAAGAGACAGATCGATGGGCTAAAGTTTGGGGTAGAACCCAGGGAGTGTGGCTACATCAGAACCATGGGGAACGGGGTTAGGAGGCAGCTACAGCCCATAAGTATAGCCCATAACCTGAATATTTCTCAAAATGTATGTATGACAGTATAACTGCCATTGTGATATTAACAGTTGGGGCCTTCGGGAGGTGTTTAGATGATGAGTGGGTGATCTGAGTTCGTGTTAGGCCCTTCTAAAAGGTCCAGAGAAAACTAGCTAGATCCCTTTTTGTCTTTCTGCCTTCTGAGCATGTGAAGACACAGCAAGCATGCCTTCTTTGTAGCAGGGATCAGCTCTGATCAGATGATGACTATGCCAGCCTCCTGACCCTGGACTTCAGAGCCTCCAGAACAACTTGTTTTAATAACCACCCAGTCTCAGCACAAATGGGCTCAAACATGGGGGGAACATATATGTGAAAGTGCCTGGAGACCTGACTACCAGGGATATCTTGTAGGGCGTGGAAATTTCAAGGGCTGAGGAAGGAATCAGAAAGGAGTAAGCAGCTTTCTTCCCAGTGGAGGGAACTATCAGAAAGAGGGCCCACTAGGAAACTTCCCTGAAGGAAGAAGTCATCACTAAACATTTTCCAGTCCTGGGAAAGCACAAAGGCAGATTCTTTTTGTTCTGGTCGAAGTATGGCTCTTCCTGCTCCTCCTCGGTTCTCCCTCTGCTTAAGCCCATTTTAGAGGGTTGGAAGATGCAGTTACTAGTTACCTAATAATACCATGTTGGACTAGTTTAAGACTGGTTTTTGACTTAAAGTGATCTTAGGATAACCTACTTTTTATTATTATTATTACTTTTTTGTCTTTTTGAGACAGGGTTTCAGTACATAGTTCAGACTGGCCTTGAAGTCACTTTCTAGCCCAGGCTGGCCTTGAACACTCGGTGATCCTCCTGCCTCAGCCTCCTGAGTGCTGGGATTACAGGTGTGAACCACCCTACCATGTGGATAATCTACTTCTTAAGAGTAAAAACAAAACTGATATGATCTACTGACATTTTTATTCTTTCTGAGGGGAAGATTCTCCCTTTGAATAAAGTTTGAAGGAATGGTGAAAGAGGGTGAATAAAATTATGCTTGATAATATCCTGAGTATTGTAGAGACAAATGATAGTCTTCCTTCCCCTCAGCCTGTGTGTTGCTACTTGAGAAAGTTTCTCCCAGCCTTCCTTCTCCTTAGCTTCTCCTACAGGTTTAGAGGAGCAAGATTTTGTTCTCCAGCAATTCTTCAGCAGTGCTACAAGTGTATTTTCTTCAAGGAACTAATTACTCTCTGACCCTGTCTGGTTCATGTATTTGCTTACTGTCACTTAACTGCTAATAGAATTCAAATTCCATAAAAGTTGGTATCTGCTCGTCTGTCTCTCTGCCATATCCCCAGTGAATGGGGTAGTTTCCAGCACATACAGAGGTGGGTTTGAACTATATTGTGAACATTTAAGTTAAAAACGTTTATCACAGTAAAAGACAGTGCCCCTCAAAACCTTTCCCCTTTTTCCAAAATATTCCATCATTCTTGCCACTTTCTTATCTGTGTGTGCTTTGAGGATTCATTCAATTCTGCATGTTCAGTCTTATGAATTTTTAATATAGTGATTTCATTTGTAAGATTCTCTAGCTGAAGAATGCGGAAATTAATTGAAAAAATCACACAACATTTTAATTCAAAACTCACAAAGCTAAATATTTTATCTTAGGAGTCTTAGTCATATGTCTGCGTCTATTTAATGCAGGACAATAGTATGTGGGAGAACCAACAGTTACAGAGGCGAAGCAAAACACTTCAAAGAATCAAAAACTGGGATCTCATCTTACTGAAAAGTTTCTGCACACCTAAAGAAATCACCAGCAGAGTAAAAAGAAAACCCACAAACTTGGAAAAAATCTTAGGTGACTGTCCCTCAGACAAAGGACTTCTATCTAGAACATATAAAGAATTAAAAAATATCATCCCCCCCCAAATCAAAAACCCAATCCAAAAATGGGCAGCTGAGATGAATACATATTTCTCAGATAAGGAAATACAAATGGCAAATAAATACGTGAGAAAATGTTCAACATCATTAGTCATTCGAGAAATGCAAATTAAAACAACACTGAGATTCTACCTTACCCCAGCAAGAATGGCTAACATGAAGAAATCAACCAATAACAAATGCTGGTGAGGCTGTGGAGAAATAGGAACCCTTCTCCACTGCTGGTGGGAATGCAGACTGGTGAAACCACTGTGGAAATCAGTTTGGAGATTCCTCAGAAAACTAGGTCTAGAGGTCCCATTCAACCCAGCTATTCCCCTGCTGGGTATTTTCCCAGAAGATCTAAAAACATATCACAGCAATATATGTGCATCTATGTTCACAGCAGCACAATTTGTAATTGCTAAATTGTGGAAGCAGCCCAAATGTCCATCCACTGAGGACTGGATAAAAAAATTGTGGTACTTTTATATAATGGAATATTACTCAGCTACAAAGAAAAGATAAAGTCGAAGCTTTTACAGGTAAATGGTCACAACTAGAGACCATACTCACAAGTGAAATAAATCGGACCCGCATGTGCAAGCACCGCATTGTTTCACTAATGTAAAACTTGAAAGAGTTCATAAAAACTCGGAGGTATGATAGACATTGTGAAATGAAAGGATAAAGCTCAAGGGTAAAGGGCAACTGGGATGTGGGAAAAGAGAAGGGAAATGAGAAACTTTGTATGTATGTATATACAGGACAGTTAACATAGTTGATCTACTGTCTTGTATTTCTTTGCTGAAAGAAACTGTTAATGAGTCTTTGATTGATCATATGGTGTGGGAATGTAGCAGCCATAAAGGGGAAGCACGGAAGTGACAAAAACCCTGTTTACAAAATTCCGAAGAAAATTAAACATTTTCAATAATCAGGAAATGGATGGAGCTCAGACAGGGATTTCCAAGGCAGCAGCAGGAAGGGGAGGAGGGTAGAAAATAGATTAATGTTTGGGTGTGCAGGTTGGCCAGGAGCAGCTGGCAGGCAGGATCCGGAGGCACAGCCGGGGGAGGGGCTGCTGCAGTGTGAAGTGGGGGAGGGGCAGCGGCTGAGCCTCAGGTTCTTGGGCCTTTCCAACTGCCACCCACTGGAGAGGGGGCATCGTGATGAGGACAGTGGAGCTCTGTGACATAGGCCTGTGGCCCTCCCCCTGATCTGCCAGGGTCCTCTCAGGGCTCAGTTGCCTGAGCGCGACAGTGCACTTCAGATGGAGAAGCTTCTCTCTCTTCAGAAGAGCGTCAGTGCCACATGGCTAAACTTCGGCTCCACCACGTGGGCCATGGATATGATCCTGGCCTTCGCGTGCGGACTGGGGATCTTCCTCCTGTTACTGCCCTTCCTCCCGGATAATCCACCAGTACCACCACCACCTCCTCTGAGAAAGAAGAAAGGCTGCAGAAAGGTGAGAGATCCTCAGGCCAGGCCCGACAACGAATATTCTCTCTTTCTTCTCCTCTTCTTGCTACTGCTTTTCCAGTCAGAGGGAGAGAAACATGACAGGGAAAGTCAAAGGCAACATTACAGCACCATTCTTTTCCTTGGTTTGTTTTTTCATTTTAAAGCAGGGTTTTTTCTTTTCCTTTTTCCTTTCTTTCTTTCTTTTTCTTCAGTCAGACGCTGTGACATCAGACAGTGTATTTCAGTGATTAAGGACTGGATTTCCAAGGGAGTTGAAGGCCTCTGCAGTACGACAGGCCCAGGACACTAGTTCTTAGGGCCCCTTCTTGCTGCAAGTTCCTCTGGCCACCCTTGTCCTGTGTGTGGGGCTGATCCACGGGCAGTGCTGAGCCCTGGAGTCTCCCACAGAGCCTAGGATCACCTGTGTCCTCAGGAATGCACTGTGCAGGTGAGATGAGCCTATGGATGCCTCTGCCTGCTGAGACCGTGTGCTGTGGAGAGCTGTGCACGGTAGAGCTTGCTTAGAAAATCTGCATTTTCCAAAGAGGGAAAGCAGCAGCCACTTTAAAAATGAACTTCATTGGCTACATTAGAAAATTCCACTCTCCAGGGACACCAGTAGCACTGTCTAGGGAGAAGAGAGAGAATTGGACCCCTGCCCGTCTTTCTTTCCTGCCCCTCAGTACCACATGGTGAGGAAGGACTGGTGCAAGATCAGGAAGAGGAGCTGCGCTCTGAGAGGTGAGGCTTGGTTCTCCTGCCCTGGAGGTGACTTCACTTTGCTGGTCCTTGAGTGGTTAGAGCCTCCCTCCCTGAGGATGTCAGGAGGGAGGCCTGAGAGGGGGCTGCTGGAGGGAAAGCAGAGCCGGGATATGTCTCAGGCTCTGTGCTTAGCACAAGGCTGTGAGAGGCAGGGGGTGGGGGATGTGCAGCAGAGGTGGAGCGGGTCTCTGTGGGCCGGTGCTGCTGGATGACTTGGTGGGACCTCCAGGGGCAGCTGTGACAACAGCCTCATGAGGCGGTAGCACATCCGTCTTGGAGATGATCTGCCCCTTCTCCTCCACAGGAAAGTTATCAAGAACATGGAGGTTGGCGGGGATGGAGGCGCCTCGTAAAGGATACAGTGCTGCCTCTGTGTGACTTGGTGTCAGTGTCACTGGTTCCACAGCTTTGGACAGTGGTGCATGGGCTCCATGGTTAAGTTTCTCAGTTTTCCCAAGGAGACATTCCCTTCTGCCGCCTGTGGGATCCCAGACCTCTCTCTTCTTACTGTAACCCTTTCTGCCCTTGTTTTCAGCTCGTAGAGACGGTGGAGAGGAAGGAGAGGGGAATGATCACCTGGCTTTGCTCCTGTGTAGGTCAGTAACTTTCCCCTTCTCTCCGTGCCTGGCTCCTGCCAGGGGCTATGATGGGACCTGAGGGACCTGGGCTAAGCAGGGGAGGGCCCTGCAGGGCGGAGTGTGGTGTGACTAAGCCAAGGATGTTAGGGCTTTGTGGAGTCAGTGTGTGTGTCACTGTGGGGGTCATGAACAGCAGTTGTCCTGCCCTGTCCAGCCGGCCTGGCCTCCTGTCCCTGTCCCCTACCGACTATACCTTGTGCCTGTTGTCTTC